CCCGGCACAGCTCACAGACCCCAGAGGCGCCATCGCCGCCCTGCGGGCCGGGGGCTTGCTGAGGTAGCAACGAACCAAAAGGCTTATAATGTTATGGCCAAAGTAACAAACCCTGCTGAGAAATGGGGCGTGTAAGCATGACCCAGCAGCTTGAGGGAGGTGAGGAGCTGCATCTACCGGTGCTCCTCCACACAGAGGAGCATCCTGTTGCAGTGAAACCTACTCTCCCTGTTCCTCTATTATGCGTGCCATGAGCCAACAGCCCCTGTCAGCTTTGATTAAAAAAAAAAAAAAAAAAGCCCCTTTTCCTGTCTCCATACCTATTAAGATGAGGTGCCATCCTGAGTTACTGCACCCTGTGCCACTGGGGCTCTGAGGACCAGGGAGCAGCAATATTTTGGGAATCCCCCTTTCAGCTCATATCTGATGGGAGTGAATGACTTTTTCATGTGAATTGGCACGTGGGGACATCTGTGTGTCACAACAGAATTAAAAGTAGGATTATTTTTGTACTGAGAACCACAAGGCCTGAAAAGGCTTTCGCATGCATTAGCACGGGTAGTCCATCACTGGCCCTGGGCAAGGCAGACCTTTGAGTTACTGTTCCAGGCTGCTCGCGTGTCCAGGGGCTGATCTGTAAGAAGTCAGGTGTCTTTGGTGCTGTAAATTAGCTAATCTCAAGATTACTTTTACCTGAACACCCACTCTTCAAAAATAAAAGTATATAGCTCATGTCTCTCCATTAATTTGAAACGTGTAACTCGTATTCATAATACCTGCATTCATATTCATAAATAAGAACATTAAATTCTGTTGCTGAAAATGAGACAAACTGAAACAAAAAAGAACTGACGCAGTGATAAAATGAATCTTACCTGTCAAAACGTGGCATTCACCTTCTTTCTCACTCTCCCACAAAGCTCACCCCTTTGAAAAACAGTAAATACAGTTCCACAGTACATATACATTCAGCTTATTTTCAAATGTAAAGTCTCCTATTTGCAAGATAAAATTAGTTTTCCACGTACAAGGTTACTTGAACCATGAGTTCACCAGGATACGTCCCCCTACAGCCCTGTTAACATTAGTTACTGAGGTATTGTCAAGTGGATTGCCACAGGCTAACTAAAATGCAGTAATAACAAAATTGACTTGCGTGTGAAAACAAAGTATAGGAATAAATAGTAGTGCAGCTTACCAGGGGAGTGATCACAGGGGATTTGGGCTGCTGTGAGAGCCCTCTTTTAGAGTCACAGCATCATTTCGGCTGGAAGGCATCTCTGGTCCGGCACCCTGCTCACCACAGCACCAGCGTGGGTCATGCTGCGAGGGCTCCGTCTCTGAGGTTTGAGCCAGTTTGCTACAGTGATGCAATAACTAACCAATACTAATTACAGCTGGTTTGGAAATACTGATACTGGTTAAAATTAGTGGGGTTTTTTTTTTCTATTTCTCTTCTCATCTTCCTACCAGCTCTTCTCTTTACTTAAATATAAGGTAACACACTTGTATCATGTGACGAGTATTTCAGCAAACCCAGAAAAACTAACAATTTTTTTTTCTTCCTTTGCATTCTATAGTAGAGACATTGTTAATTTGCAACCTGTGCACCACTTGTATCTATAGAAATAGCACCCTGATGGGTGTCAAAGTCAAAAAAGAAGAGAGCAGAGCGATCACTTAAGCATCATGAACGACCCTTCCCATTTACTCCACTGAAAATCTCCCCAGGAAAACAGAGAAAGAACAGTGTTTATTTCATTTTCTAACCTTTGGTTTTGTTCATTGCTTATTATCTTTAAGAAGCAATTACTTCCTACTTAACGTAGGAAGAGTGGCCGTTTGGCAATGCAGTGCAGAGAGGATACGCACGGGGATTCGTGAAGCGGCAGAGGCAGGAAAACCCACCCAGTGTGGTGGCTGGTGTCACTGGCAGAAGAAAGGCATCATTAATTGATCAGACATCTCAGCCAAGAAGAGCTGTACAGATGCAGATAAGACATTTGTTTGATTTGGCTTGAAAATGGGAACTAGTATCAAAATTTAAAATGAAGTTTTGGCATGACCGGAATGGCAAACAGACTGGAGTGGGAAGGTGAATACTACATGGTAATAGTGAAAGAGGCTGCAGCTGTTTGCATGTACATTTACCTGGTGTAATGCCAACAGGAGGACATGGCTACTGGTCAAAACCACCTAAAAACCTGCTCCATGCAGCACTTAGCAGCTCATGAAGCAGACTGCGGTTACCGAAGTCCACCCAGTGCTGTCGAAGGGGAGCGGTGCAGCCACAGCTTGCTCTTGTGCGTACAGAGTCGCTTTTAATTCAATTACAGTCTTCCATTACTGAGGAAATAAATGTGGGAGGAAACAAAGGACAGACACAGAGAAGCAAAACAGGGGTAGGAAGTAGGAGATACATGCTTACTGTGTCTCATTTGGCTCCATAGGGCTTTAGAAGGGCTGTCATACATCATGACATTTATTTCTGTCATCTACTAGGATGAGAAGTCCATTACAATATTGATCATTTTACTCCCGCTTAACTCTACGCTATGTAATACTCAGCATAGCTGAAAAAGCTTACAAGTGATTTAGAAATAGCTGTACAGGGAGAACTGAGGAAGAAATCGGAGTCAACATGGTTTCCCTTAATGGAATTCTCTTTTTAGTAAGCTTTTACAAAATGTAGGAAATTGCATTTTAAACACAGTTAAAGCCACAACACAGTTGCAGTCAAACAATCAGAAGCTACAGACACAATAAAGATTTCCTATGCAATCTTAATTTACATGGTGACATAATGACATACTCTTCAGCTGTGTTGCCCCATAGCTGTCACATAACATCTTCACCAGGCTCCTCCTCCTTTCACCAGTCAATAATTTTTGCCCCAATGAACTCAGGGCCAAAAATCTTAAAAGGCATCAAAACACTTACGCTTCCTTGATATCAAAAAGACCACTTGCAAACCTGAAAATCCAATTTAACCTGAAATCAGTTACCTGCTGATTTTATCCTGTTTAAGGACCAGAGACCCTAATTTGGTAAGGACTGTCCTGAATATTGGCAAGGGCTGGTGAAAATGAATTGGTGAATTTCCATTTAACCTGAAATAACTGTGGATTGCAATCATCAGATGGGGCAGCACAAGGGAGGTGCAAGCTTATACCATTAATATACCATCAGCAATACCAGCAGGAGCGGCACGCTGTTCCAGCATTACAGTGGCAGCAAGGACGGAGCTGTCCTGCAGGGTGTCAGGCCAGCTTGTGCCCTAAACACGGAGGTGCAGCACAGGTGAGAGCAGCCCTGCCCTGCGGGGTTGCTTTGAGAAGACTTGTCCCTGGGGTTGTAATTTCCCGCCACTTCCAAGTGGGTTTGCAGCCAGCTCAGGACAGGGAGATGTGATGGAAGGCCATCCTTACCTGGTTGTCTTCTTTCCTACCTGCAGTCTGCTTTTTACTGCTGATCCTGCCATGGGTGGACGCTAGAAGTTTTCTTCATCATCCTCCTTTAATGTACTGTCTGTTCCATCCCCAGCTTTGCCTGTAACGCATTATTTATGCAGAGCAGCTTGAAGGTCTGCATCAGAAGATCCTTCAGCACCGGAGAAAGCTGCATACTGGATGGGGCGCCAAGGGAGGCTGACGACCTGGCCTATGTGCTTATGACAGCACGTGGTGGTGCTGCTCCATCTCCTCTATATTCTTGCATATAGCTTTCAAGGGATCCTTCTTATGTTAGGGCCCGATTTCAGACATTCATCCCTAAAAGGGAGGAATGACAGACAAGCCAGGATGTCCACAAGGAAGGCACTCAGGTATCACAGTGAGGATGAGAAATGAAGTTACGCAGATAGATTACACCAGGTGTTAGCATCACAACAGTAAAACTTGAGATAGCCTGAAATTTCTCTTTTTTTTTTTCTTAAATGCTCTAAAAGCCATACCAACAGACACAGGATCTAAACATTTGGCACAAATGATCAAGCCTTGAGTATGGGATAATTAGTTCTAATTTAGAAATAATACAACATGTACATGAATATAGGTCCCTTAACAAAAAGACATCAAAATTGTACACTTGGGTTTTTTTGCGTGCAGCTGAGGTTCAGATATGGCTCTACTCATGCCCAGATGGATGGTACTAGCCTGGATCTCAGCCAAGGCTTTGCAATAGTAAACAGTAAAAGTTGGATTTTTTGTGGTGACTTGGACCATATCAACAGCTCACGGGCCAGCATACACACCAGGGTCAGGGCTCTGAGTGTCACGGGAGCTAGATGTTTGAGCACCTGGGTTAGCATGGCCACACTTCGGGGAGGGAGGGAGGAAAGAAGACAGGGTGTAGGAATGATGCTTCTCCCATCGAGTTATATGACCTGATGTAGGGATGAGCTGTCTCTACTTGCCTGCCTTCATGCTGGACATGTGTTAGAGCCATACCTTTAAAGAAAAGAGGGAAAAACTGTGTACCAGATACAATTCAAGGGGAAATAGTATCCTGAACATTTTCACCAGCCCTTGCCAATATTCAGGACAGTCCTTACAAAATTAGGGTCTCTGGTCCTTAAACAGGATAAAATCAGCAGGTAAACTGAATTCTACCAACTTCTGTATATTGTGCACATACACTGCTTTGCAGCAACATTTTAGATCAACGTGGTGGGTTGCCCCTGGCTGGATGCCAGGCGCCCACCAAAACCGCTCTATCACTCCCCTCCTCAGCTGGACAGGGGAGAGAAAACACAACGAAAGGCTCGTGGGTCGAGATAAGGACAGGGAGAGATCACTCACCAATTACCGTCACGGGCAAAACAGACTCAACTTGGGGAAATTAGTTTAATTTATTACCAATCAAATCAGAGCGGGGTAATGAGAAATAAAAACCAAATCTTAAAAACGCCTTCCCCCCACCCCTCCCTTCTTCCCAGGCTTAACTTCACTCCTGATTTTCTCTACCTCCCTCCCACCAAGCAGCGCAGGGGGACGGGGAATGGGGCTTGCGGTCAGTTCATCACACGTTGTCTCTGCTGCTCCTTCCTCCTCTCTCTTTTCCCCTGCTCCAGCGTGGGGGCCCTCCCACGGGAGACAGTCCTTAATGA